TTACAGTTATGTAAAAACTTGCACTCTGTCCACTGTCCAATTCCTACATTGTACCTCATTCTTTTCAGGATTTGGGTAGCACCATTAATCACGCTTTTCTCTGTACTCTCTACAGCGGTGTTTATGAGAAAGAGCACGACACTGTGATTATGTTTGAGTGTTGAAGAAGGACCCTTTCTTTGCATGTGTTCCAAGTAAAGAGAGTAACCCACTCACATGACTTTGGGCAAGTTACACTAACTTCTGTATCTTTGATAGACACCCTATCATCACCCACATTTAGATGTAAGGTATTAGGAGACCTCCTATTTAAGAGGCTATTCAGAAATACAACATGGGCTACAGATAGAAAAGCAATTTCACAGGCAAATATCTACATTGGCAGTTGGTCTTGGACCCTCTCCTTCAATTTTAACCTAAATTCAGAAAACATAAAAATAAGGCCAGGTGCAGTGGCTCATGTTTGTAATCCCAGCACTTTGGGAGGCCAAGGCAGGCAGATAAATTGAGGCAAGGAGTTCAAGACCCACCTGGTCAACATGGTAAAAGCTCGTCTCTACTAAAAATACAAAAATTATCCAGGTGTGGTGATACACATCTGTAGTACCAGTTCACTAGAACCTGGGAGGCAAAGGTTGCAGTCAGCTGAGATCACGCCATTGCATTCCAGCCTGGGTGACAGAGTTAGACTCTGTCTCCCTCATGCCCAAAAAAGAAAACACAAAAACACACAATTTATAGGATATATATGTAAGAGCAATCCAGAATACAGAAGGAAATTATAAGAAAACTAGAAACATCAAGACATGCTCTTTAGGCCAGGTGTAGTGGCTGGTAGGATTGCTAAAGCCCAGGAGTTTGAGACCAGCCTGGGCAACATGGCAAAACCCCATCTCTACAAAAAATACAAAAATCAGCTGGGCATGGTGATGAGTGACTATGGTCCCAGATACTCAGCAGGCTGAGGTGGAGAATCCCTTGAGCCCAGGAAGTGCAGGTTGCAATGAGCTGTGATTGCACCACTGCACTTCAATCTGGGCAACAGAGTGAGAGACCCTGTCTTAAAAAAAAAAAAGATATGTTATTTAGTTGTATCTAAACTTTAAAAAAAGTTAGATTTTCTGATGGATACTGTATTTAATAATCTGCAGACATATTAAACTTCACAACAATTTTCTAAACAGTTTTTAAAGGATCTGAGTATAATGGCATAATAGAGCTAAACAGAGTCTGACGGCTTTTATTATTTCTAATAACTTTTCTGCTCTAGTTTATACAAGCCAATAAATCTCATTCTATTCCACATGAAATGAAATCCACTCAGTAGTGTCAATTACGTTTCTATTGCAGGCTGGGGTATCTTTACTTGAGACATAAGACACATGCCCACGTGTCCTCAGCATGAAGACTGCTGTGACTTACTTAAATGTTCCAGACGCAAACCTTTTAAGTAAAAAAACCAAACCCCATATAAAATGTCACTAGCCTGCCTAAGTTAGAAGGCATGTACCACAGCAGTCAGTCAGTCAGTCAGCGTAAAGGGCAGTAGATCCACCACCTGCAATGAGGTCACAAGAATGACACAGCCTTTGAAACAGGTGTTAAGTAAAACTCTCCTTAGACCGAGCAAATCCACTTTTAGAAATTGAAGGGAAAAAGTAACTTCAGATAAAATTACGAATGCAGTGATGCTCATCACTGTGCTTTTTTTATAGTTGCAAAAAATATGCAGACAAACTAAATGTCCAATAATAGGACACACTTACTTTAGAAATAGGGTACATCTACTTTATACAGCCATAGAAAGTGTTTTCAAAACAACTTAACATGAATACAACCCATAAAAACAAAGGGTATAAATATATGAGGGTATACATGAGAGCAAACCATCAACTGGACCAGAAGTACAAAACTCCTTAGCTCAAGGATTATAGGAATATTCTTTTTTTCTCTCCTCTTTTTGTTGTTTCTAAGACAGAAAGTCACTGTTGCCCAGGCTAGAGTGCAGTGGCACAATCTCAGTTGACTGCAACCTCCACCTCCCCAGTTCAAGTGATGCTCCTGCCTCAGCCTCCTAAGTAGCTGGGACTATAGGCGTGCGACATCATGCCTAACTTCTGTTATTTTTATTAGAAACGGGATTCCTACTAAACCCGTTTCTCTTGACCTCAAGTGATCCACCCACCTCAGCCTCCCAACATGCTGGGATTACAGGTGCAAGCCACCACACCCAGCCAGGAATATTCTTTAATGTATTACTCTCATACTCAGAAGTTATTTTTTTAATTACAGTATATCCTAAAAATAATTATCTTGAGGTCTTTTTCTAAAAGCTCTTAAAATATCACATTATTTCTCTGGAAACATACTAAAGAACAAAATTTGTTCACCAGTCATGCTGTCTGTTTCTTTAAGGGCCTATTCACAAAGCCTAATAGAAAAATCTGGATTTAGGAAAGAGAGAAATAAACTGAGTGCAGTGGCTCACGCCTGTAATACCAGTACTTTGAGAGGCGAGGTGGAGGACTGTCTGAGCCTAGAAGTTCAAGACCAGCATGGACAACGTGGCGAGATCTCATCTCTACAAAAATTAAAAAAAAAAAAAAAAGTGAGCTGGGTATGGTGACACGCATCTGTGGTCCCAGCTACTCCAAGAGGCTGAGGCAGAAGGAATGCTAGCGCTCAGGAGGTTGAGACTGCAGTGAACTATGTTCGTACCACTGCACTCCAGCCTGGGTGATAGCCTTGTCTCCAGAAAATAAAAGAGAGAGAGAGAGAAATGAGAAGTAAATTACTTAAAAATAATTATTCATATCACAGAATTTAAATGTTTACAGTTATAAAGCACTTATAATAAGATACCCAAAAGTTTACTTTAAATGGCAACTCTTCAGGAACATATGTACTCGAAGAAGTTATTCTTACATAAGATGACCAAGAATTTCTGATCAGCCCTTCATCAAGAATGTCAACCACCACAATGGCTCAAATCCTATTATCTAGTTGGTAACGAAATTTTTTTCTACCTAAATGTAGAATGATCAAAAGAGAAAATATTTCAAGTCTTATATAATAATGTGGGTGACCTTCAACCCTCAAATACTGTTTTGGAGACTTTTCACAATCTATTACTATGTGAAAGAGAAGGTAAATCCTCACAGTGACAGGCTATGATGCCAGGGGAATCTTTCTGTCAGTCAAGTTCATTATTAACAGTGTTTCTGGACCTAAAAATGTACAGTCTAACCTTGACCTTAGTAAGGTCCCTTAGAGTTTCTTGACCAAATTATTTGCCACAACCACCTGACTGGTTTCCCTGCTCTGAACTTTGCCCAACTGAAATCCATCCTCTTCCATGCTGGAGCTCAAAAGAGCTTTGAAGAACACACAAGCTTGACTGAAATGTTTCAACACCCTCTCCACTCATCTTTTGGGTAAAACTTCCTTTCAAGGCATGCATGAGTTTTTGCCTGGCCTCAGCTCCCTTCACTCCTCAACACAGCCCTCTTTCTTCCAGCCACAGCGAAACAGGTCCTCGAAACACACAAGTTTTCTCCCTCCCTGGCTTTGTGCATGCTGTTTCCCCTGCGTGGGACTCTCCCACACCTTTATCCTTCCAGCTAACACTAATCACTCTTCAAGAGTCACCTCAAGCATCATCCTTCTTCACTAAGCCGTCCCTATTCCTCCCATCTGGCATCTACCTGAATAAGATGCCTATTGACCAGACTGAAGCCCATGACTATCTTTGCTAGGAAGGTGGTTATCCAACTTAATGCAATAAAGCATGTCCACTACTGAGGGGAAATTCATGAATGGCAGATTAATAAAATATCCAATTATTTCAAACTGCTTATTCCCAATCAGAAATTTCTGGAGAATCTCATTACCATTTTCAGTGATTCCAAGATTGTTCAAATTTCCTATTAAATATTTTCATATTTTGTGGACCCCACCTGAATTGAAGTGCTACCAGAGGGGATCCCTTAAAAATACTTTCTGAATTTAGAAATCTGTTTATAAATTCTTCATAAACTTAGGCCAGGTGCCATGGTTCTTGCCTGTAATCCCAGCATTTCAGGAGGCTGAAGCAAGTGGATGACCTGAGGTCAGGAGTTTGAGACCAGCCTGGCCAGCGTGATGAAGCCCTGTCTCTACTAAAACTACATAAATTAGCTGGGCGTGGTGGCATACACCTGTAATCCTGGCTACTCCACAGGCTAGAAAGGAGAATCACTTGAACCTGGAGGTGGAGGTTGTGGTGAGCTGAGATTATGCCATTGCATTCCAGCCTGGGTGAAGAAAATGAAACTCCGTCTCAAAGAAAAAAAAAAAACAACTTCATAAACTTGTTTTCCATTCTCCATCATCACCCCAGCAAAACTGAACAGATTTTGGGGTGTTCTGTGAGACCAGCAAGAACAGTTAATGCTGAGGTTCTATCATATTCTTATGGAAACACAGCTAGAATTACAAATATTTTAGGCTTGTAGATCTTCTTGTTGATCCAGAAAAATCCAACTGATAAAAACCACAGTGCGAAGGTTATATCAAAGTAAAGGACATCTTCTATAAATAACCCACATTCTCAGGAGTATTTTCCAAAACATTCCCAATTAGAGACTGCTAAATGTATGCACGCTCTTTGTAAAAGCTCTTAATCGCCTGAAACTGTCATCAGCTCTCAAATCAGAATTATGATTTTTATTTTTATTTTGGAGACAGGGTCTTTTGTCTCTGTTGCCCAGGCTGCAGTGCAGTGGCACGATCTCAGCTCACTGCAACCTCCAACTCCCAGGTTCAAGTGATTCTCATGCCTCAGCCTTCCAAGAACACACACCACCACGCCTGGCTAATTTTTGTATTTTTAGTAGAGGCACAGTTTCACCATGTTGGCCAGGCTGGTCTCAAACTCCTGACCTCAGGTGATCTGCTTGCTTTGGCCTCCCAAAGTACTGGGATTACAGGTGTGAGCCACCACACCCGGCCTAAAATTATGATTTTAAAAATCAGCAACTTGCATCTGCATATTGCCATATATTTTTCAAAGCACTTTCAGTTATATCATTTTCTTTTTTTTTTTTTTTCTTCTGAGCCAAGGTCTCACCCTGTTACCCAGATTGGAGCACAGTGGCACAATGCTTTTTTTTTTTTTTTTTTTTTTAATAGAGAACAGGTCTCACTATATTGCCTAGGCTAGTCTTGAACTCCTGAGCTCAAGGGATCCTCCCACCTCAGGCTTCCCAAGTACGGGGATTACAGGCATGAGCCACCAAATCCAGCCAGTGAGAGCATTTTATTTGGTCCCATTTTTGTCACTCATTTCTCAACATCAAATCCCAGCTTTAAAAATTATTTTTCTTAATTTTCTATTTCTAGAAAATTAGATTATTTTAGACTCTTACAAAGTGAGCTTTTGTAAGATTAATAACTTTGTTAAAATTGAAAGTAGAAAAATAATTCACAGAAGAGTGTGAAAATTTCTGTTATTTTTTTTTTCCTTTACAAAATGTACCATCTGGAGTTATTCTGCAGCCAAAAATATATCGGGAGATAGGACTTTCTTTATGGTGAAGGGAGGAGGAGAAACTAAATCATAAGCCATCAGGATGACATAATGCACAACACTGAAATCTGAGAAAAAGGGTCCCGGAGATCATTCTCAAAGCTTACACTTAGCCTGTGTGACCACACAGGACCTGTGACACACCAACTTTTATAATGAAGAAAGAAATAGCACTCACAGAATGAAACTGGAGAGGAATTCAACAGCCTGCCAAAAATAAACAATAAAAAGAAGTGGATTTTAAGAAGACGACTATAGTATGAGTCAGATATCATGGCAGTCCAAGGTGAAAACAGAGAGTCACTGACTCTCAGGGGTGCAAGGGATCTTAGAAAAGTCCTTGTTCTAGTCTTACCATGGGCTGCCTTGAACTGCAAGGAAATCAGTTTCCCTCCCTAGTCCTCAGTTTCCTCATCTGAAAATTGAGGCATCAGGGTATGGCCAGTGGGTCTCAAACTTGGACACTCACCAAAATCACCTAGGAATTTCAAAATACAGACTCCTGGATCTAGTGCCTAGAAATTCTTATTCAAAAAGGATATGATATGGCCCAGAACCTATCATGTTTTTAAGGGTCCCTAAGGTGGTTCTGATGCACATGTCTGGAAACCACCAAACAAGATGACCTTTAAAGTACCACCTCATGCTTTGGTTTTAATTGCAATTTAATCTTATTGTCAAGAACTCAGGTCTACTTACTTTGAGAAGACCTTTCTGTATACTATACTGAGAATCAAAAGTCAGTACCTCATAACGCATATAATCAAGGGCTTAGAGGTAAGTTTTCTACTTGTTCTTTATTATTATTTTCTTGGATCGATCTCAACAAATTTTATAACAATGAAAAAAGAGATACAAAATAACATGTATAGCATAAGTGTGTTTATACAAAGTTCAAAACCAGTGTTTGCCACATTTTCAAATGGTTCAGCAAATAAAATATATGTGTACGTCCATCTATTGAGATATAAAGACAACGTGGCAAAATGTGAACAATCGGGGATCTAGGTGAGTATGCAAAAGTTCATACAACTATTTTGCTACCTTTTTGTAGGTTTGATGTTTTTCAAAATAAAAAAGATAGGAAAGAGATTAAAAACCAGACAAAGCTAATTTATATTGTTTAGGAGTACAAACATGGGTAGTAAAAAAATTAAGAAAATAATTATCAAAATTCAGAGTAGTGCCAACGCTGGGAAGAAGGATGAACTTGTGCTGAGTACAAGCCTCGCTGGGGTCTTCTGATGCTGGCAGTTTCTTCACCTGGGCTTATTAAACTCTCTCTATAAATTCTATGCATTTTCCATATGTACATTTCACAGGATGAAACAGGTAAAAACAATGTGATGAGGTATATAAAAATACAAACAAAATTGCTATACACTTGTTAAACATTATTATTTGAAAAAACTGCTTTTGCCTTTAACAAACAAACCTAAGTTTCGGTATTTTTGCTATGAGTCATTTACGTGAGATCATTTATCAAAAGGCACTTACTGAGGACCAAATTTTGAGGCTAGCAATATAATAATGTCATCTTATTTTTATATGAGCTAGTTCTTACATAACCATCAATTCTGAATCTGGTTTAGTTTGGTATTAGGTAATGTATCGTATACATTTATATTGTTGATGTATAAAATTTGTCTGTTTTCTATAGCTTTTTCTGATTTCTTCATTAAAAATTTTTTGGTGTTTTTTAACTTTTTCAAAAATCAGCACAATTTTTTCCTTTGAAATTAAATAGATTACTCGGTTTCCAACATTTAATTATGTCTATCACCATAAAAAGTTTTCACCTAATGGAATTATTTAAGCAATATTATATTAATGGAAAACATTATTCTCAGGACTAATTACTAGGTGCCTTTGATGTGTACTTTTTTGCATTTGCTGTATGCATGACATACTACTGTTTTATAGTACAATGAATTGCAGAGCAGTGATGATTCAATAAATGTACATCTATTTTGCACACTTGCATAACTTAAGCATTTTCTCTGAGAAACCATCCCTGATTTTCAGTCTAGATCCAATTCCTCTGACATGTGTTCACAAAGCTGCATACTTTTCCTTCACAGTATTAAGTATCTAATGCCACATTTCTTTCTTTGTTAAAAATTATTAATGTTAGTCTACCCAGTAGACTAGAGTGCCATTGCTTTCCTAGTGTTACAATAAATGAATAAATGAATCAGTTAAGTTATGCATCATTAGGATTTCACAGTTATCTTTTAAGAAATACTCAAAGTCAAAGGTTGGTCACAATTTCACATTCTTAAATTGACTTTTAATATTGTGATATTAATTCACTTGATGGTCTCCTCCTGTATCTTCTAAATCGATATTGTAATCTAAATTATCATCCCTTCCTTCATTTCTTCTGCAGCTTCTTCTATGATTATAACTTAGATTATTTTAATACCCTCTGTTTTTTCTGGTTCTTTATTGAACAGAATAACAATGTCTTCTTTCTTTCCACATTTTGTGCAAACTTCAAGTTCATAGGTGCATGGCCTACACAAGTGATAAGAATCCCTCACTGTCTTTTATAAACATTTAACACATTTATAAGGTTTTGATAATGATTTATATTTTTTGTATGTTAACACGCCACTCAAGAACTTCTTCATAGTGCTGACACACTCCATCAGGAAGTTTTGCATTAATTTTCTTGGTCTTAACACTCTTATTGAACTTGTCATTTTTGAAGCTAAATGTATTCTGGTGCCTGAGGCCTGGAATGAGCCACGTTGGCTTTCTGGGAGCTCATCGCAGAAACCACAACCACCCTGGGCCAGCACAATCACAAGGATGAAGGAAAAACCAAGGAACTACTCCCAGGAATTATAACACTTCTCAACTTGTCCTTTAAAATTCTTTTTTTTTTTTTTTGAGACGGAGTTTCGCTCTTGTTACCCAGGCTGGAGTGCAATGGCGCGATCTCGGCTCACCGCAACCTCCGCCTCCTGGGTTCAGGCAATTCTCCTGCCTCAGCCTCCTGAGTAGCTGGGATTACAAGCACGCGCCACCGTGCCCAGCTAATTTTTTGTATTTTTAGTAGAGACGGGATTTCACCATGTTGACCAGGATGGTCTCGATCTCTTGACCTCGTGATCCAACCACCTCAGCCTCCTAAAGTGCTAGGATTACAGGCTTGATCCAAAATTCTATCCTACAAAAGGCCTCAAACATCCATTAGCATAGAGAAACAGTGGCACCCTGAAGAGTTACCAGGATGGCTATTCCAGAAGACACTCATCATCAATGCTGGCTTTCCTATTACTCCTGTTAGCATTTCTTTTTAGTCTTTCCAGCTTCCCGTATTCCTGTTCTTAGGAGACGTTAACATTTCCTACCTAGCTCTCTGGGCTTGAGGAAAGATAATATAGAAAAATCAGGCAAAATACAAGTGTGAAACATAATTAAAAATAGCAGATGAGTATTAACAAAATGTCTCAAACTTACTGACAATGGGAAAGGAAGGAGAGCATGCCTCTTCTGGCAGTCAAAAGTGGGACAGAAGTGAATGAAAGAAAAATATACACAATTCTTAGGCATACAAAAGTCCTAGGAGGGTCCTGATCACTTATTCCTCAGAGAAAGGCAGTTAATACCATGCAGTTAGCACTTGCCAATACACGTATTTGGTTTGTTTTTTGTTTTTCAGATAGGGTCTCGCTCTGTCCCCAAGACTGGAGTGCAGTGGTGCAATCACAGCTCACTGCAACCTCTGTCCTGGGCTCAAGTAATCCTCCCACCTCAGTCTCCCAAGTTGCTGGGACCACAGGCATGGCACCACCATGCCCAGCTAATTTTTTATTTTTTGTAGAGATGGAGTTTCACCATGTTTCCCAGGCTCGTCTCGAACTCCTGGGCTCAGGTGATCTGACTGCCTCGACCTCCCAAAGTGCTGGGATTACAGGCATGAGCCACCATGCCCAGCCCCAATACAAATATTTGGATACAACCCCATCAAGAACACTAACCTGACCAGCGGAACAAAGCAAGAAGGGAATGAAGTCTGTTGCTGCACTCACACTTCACCCTGGATTTATACATAGCACACAATGACAAAACAGGAAAACTCTCTGAAATGACTCACAGACCCCGTGAAGCCACTGGGAGTCACACCCCTAAATCACCCAAGTGCCTTTGATTCTTGCATTCTCAGAGTTCTTCCTACACATTTCCCGTGCCCAGGAACACTTGGCATTTTCTTTACAGCAGGGCTCACGGAAAGCAACAGAAATCTGTTCCTGGGGAGGTGCTAATGTCCAGCAAAATGCAGGAGGCAGGAAGGCACAGCAAAGAGCCCGGATGGTACAGACTGACTGCTGGCCTCCAGACAGCCCCTCCATGTGAGGGTTTCTCATGCCTGCAGGAGGAAGAACCTCTAAAAAGGTCCTGCTGAGGGAAGCATGGTATAGAAAATCCACATTCTTTGTCATACTTCATCTTTCCTCTAACCCCTCACTCTTCTGTGATCCTATCCTGGGATCTTACGTGCTATGTCTGAACAAACATGGGACATAATTGATTCCATTCTCCACCCTTGGTGCCCAGCCCTCCAATAACATGGGGGCCCACAATGGGAGTTTATTTCATGGGAAATATGTACTAGCACTGTCCCTGTTTCCCACACACTAGAGATGAGCCAGGAGAGGCAAACTACTGAGGCTGGTCTTTCTCCAGCAGAAGAGATAAAATCTGCTCTCACCTAGTTTAACCCCAATACTCAGGCTTCAGTCCCTTGCTGGGCATTCCTCGGCTCTGAAAGAATAAAGCTGCATTCTCTCTTCGCTAGCGTGGCCTCTTCGGGGTCACATTTGCCTGCCCCCCAGTCCTCACCACAGCCCTTGAGGCCAGCCGGCTTTAAACAGGGCCTTTCTGTAAGATGTGACACATAATCCATTGCACCAACTGCCGTGGGGCTCTGGGTGCCAAAAAACCATTGAGAAAAAGGCTGCTTAAAAAAGCATGGAGTAACTCAGCACGGCCAAGTCCTGTGGGATTAGCTCTATTCCAAGCCTGCCCTTCCAGTGTCAGGCTTCTCAAATGTTCATGTTCCTCCCATGTTTTGTTGACGTCCTAGATCTAGGTTGCCCAATGCAACTGTCTGCTGTGATGGAAATGTTCTATATCTGTACTATCCGATATGGTAGTCATGAGCCATCGGTGGCTGCTGAGCATTCAAAATGTGGCTAGTGTGACTGAGGAAATGAAGTTTTGGTTGACTTCATTTTAATTCTTGTAAACATAAGCAACCTCCTTGTGCTCATGGCTTCCTACTGGACAGAGCAGGCTAGAGACATCCTTCTAAGGGCAGGCCAGAGGATAACATGCATACTTGGCTTATGTTAGAATCATCTGAGGACCTCCTGCAAGACCTGGGGCACATTTCATACCCCAGACAATTAAATCAGATACTCTGGAAGTGGGACCCAGATATCTGCATTTTTTTCTAATTTTTTCTTTTTCTTCTGTGCCGATGAGCTCTATATTGCCCAGGCTGGTCTTGAACTTCTGGGCTCAAGCAATCCTCCTTCCTCAGCCTCCCAAAGCACTGGGATTTCAGGCATGAGCCACCATGCCCAGCTGACACTTGCATTTTTTTAAGCCTCCTCAGGGGATGCCAATGTGCTATCAAGATTGAGGATCAATGTTCCAAAGTGTGAAATGTCTACCATTAATAGTCAATCCCTATCCAACCAGACATTTCAAATACTAAGCCATGTAAATAATGAGGCCAAATATTCCACCCACCATGCCATCTTGTGACACTGTGAAACCTCAGGCTCATCAAGAGCAAAACCATGTTCAAAAAATGGGCCACTAAAGGAAGCCATGAGGAGGAAATGAGACAGATCAGAAAAGAAGGTAAAAGGAGGAAGCCAAGAGGTTTTACAAATAACTGTCAGTATACAAAGCCTGGCTAGCATCAATCTTTATATACAAATAATTATTTTCTGGAAAGTCGCCAGTTAACAACAAAATATACCTCCAAATCTAGTACTCTGAAGAAACAGCTTTAATTGGATTCCTCCCCTTGGCTACCCCAACCAAACACTATCTGTGCCTAATAGTAAGCTCTTACCACTATGTATTTTTCTTCAAAAGATTATCTGAAACCTGTGCTTTATTATTGGAGACATTAAACTCTTTAAATAGCAGCAATTAAAAAGCCAGTATTGGTCCAAAATCCATTTGCTTTGGCTCACTCTTTTCCAGCAGGCACAATCTGAACCTTTACTTGATGTTACTAATTCCACCAAGTACATCATTAACCTGGTGAAGCTTTTCCTCAGGGACCTGGTTTAACAGAGGCATCATACCCAGAGTTCAAACACACACACACACACACACACACACACACACACACGAATAGTCACTCAGGTTTCTGCAGCCTCTAATCTTACAATCAGCATTTCCCAAAGGCATGCCATGCCCTTCAGGCTGACTGCTGATAGAGTTTCCAAAACTGGGGCAAAAAACTCACCAGCATTTTCTAGGCAGCACTGCTGAAAATCAAAAACAGCAAGAGAGATTCTAATGACAAGAGTATTTGAAGTTTACTTTTTTTTTTTCTTTTCCCAAACCTGTTATTCATTTCTGGGATTTGCTTATCATCATCATCATCATTATTATTATTTAGAGATGTGAGTTTTGCTTGTTGCCCAGGCTGGCCTCAAACTCCTGGGCTCAAGTAATCCTCCCACCTCAGCTTCCCAAGTAGTTAAGACTATACAGGTGTTCACCATGATGCCAAGCTGAATGTCACTTTTAATGACAATAAAAGTTGTTCCCTGTACATTGACAAATGATATATAAATGACCTCAATTTAATCCACTCCCCAAATTATTTAATATTACTAAAGTAATTCAATTACAAAACCGAGAACTCCTAGAGTTGGCCCGGGCTTCAATAAGTCACCTTAACTAATGGACTCCCCTCCAAGGAGAAAGAAATGGTTTCAGTTCATCCACACTCACAGCCAAGAAGTTCTCAAAGAGCAAATGTAATCCCTGCTGCTGTGGCAAACCAAACTCAACTCTTTTTCATCTTGGCCTTTGTAGGAACCAGCAGCAGCAACGCACTAACAACTTCTCAACCATCCATTCAATGCAGGGTAGACAATATGGACTTTTTAAAAAATAAACACGATACTTACAAAAGGATCTGGACTGCACATTTCATATATATCTGAATGTGGGTTACACTGAATAGAATAAAAATTCTTTCTAGATCACATAACTAGGATTGCCAGATAAACAGTGGACATCAAGTTAAAGCTGAATTTTTAGGGTAAGTAAGTCTCAAATACTGCATAATACATACTAAAAAATGATGTGCTATTTACCTGAAATTAAAGTTTAACCAGACATTCTGGCTTCTTTTTTTGTCTGATTTTGTTTTTCCTAAATCTGGCAACCCTGCATGCATATCACTACACTGGAAAAAATCCAACTTTTAAAAGCGACAAGAAGGTCTAGTTTCACCACTCCCCACTCACTCAACCTCTCAACCTCCCAACTATTCCTATATCTTGGCGCCAGCTGTTCAAAAGGAGCTCTCCAGTGTAGATGCTAATTAGACACAATCTGATAAATGAGTGCCCCAACACCCAGCTATCTCTGCGCCACAGGTGCTAATTATATAATTAAGTGCCAGATATACAGGTAGCTGAAAAAGTAAAAGTCAATTTTATTTTCTGAGCCTTTATCTGAGTAAAGGGCTCAGATAAAGCAAGCAAATGAGTTAGAGCAGGTGCCATAAATGGAAAAAGCCATTAGTAAACATTAACGTTATTAAAAGCAAAGTTTGCTCAGAAGGCTTAAGTAGGAAGATCACTTGAGCATAGGAGTTAGAGGCCTGGGCAACATAGTGAGACCTTGCCTCTTGGGGGAGGAAAAAAAAAAAACAAAATTAGCTTGGGAGAAATAATGACAATAGAAAGCGAATCGAATACATAAGTGGTTATTTCACGAATTAAGTATTCTAAATAATTTTTTCAAATAGCTAAATTTGTTGAACAGTTGTGTGTCAAACAACATTCCAAAACTTCACACGTTTTATTGCATTTAATCTTAACACCCCAGGAAGTGAGTCATGTCCATTTCACAATGTGAAGAAACCAAGACACCAAGATTAGGTAACTTGCTTAACACCAGAGTGACCATGTCACCTGGTTTGCCTCAGACCATCCTAGTTTATGCCTGCTCTCCTGGTACAAGCATTACAAGTATCTCCTTTCGTTCTCATAAATTACATAGTTTGGATAATAAATTATGTCTTTACCTACCAAAGACCACAGTCAATAACTGGCAGAGGTAGGGTTCCAACCAGGCACTGTGGCTCCAAGAAACAGAACTCAACCACTGTAAAATACTCCCTCCCAAGTCCTACCTTCCACAGACTGAACAATAGGATTTATTTTTTCACCTTTACCAATCTTACCTTAGATTTCCTACATGGTTACAAACCAATTGAGCAGGTGGTGGTAAGGGTCATGTTTTTCTTAACTACACTTTATCCGCCTTCAAATCATTGGTATACACAGCAGAAGTCATCTGCAGGCAGAGAAGACTGCAGTCAGCCTCCACTGACATCCCTGGGCCTGAAAATGTTTAAACATTTCAACTTATCAAAGTATCTGGTCAAATATTTAACAAGATCTTTTCCTATTTTAAAATGACCTTCACCTTCCTTCAGCTGGCCAGGCAGACAGGATACTCAGTTGTTTATAATTTTTATTAAAACAAAGGTGGACATGCAGTAGGTTCTGGCTTTTGGTTCCATATACAATGGGCTTTCCTCCCTTTCCTACTAATAAAACATACACACACACACACACACACACACATATACACACACACATACATACTCACATACATATCTTTTTTTTTTACCTTTGGTATTGTGTATTTTCAAAACACTTTCTATTTTCCGAGCATATGTTTAATCATTCACGCTATTACTAGTTTGACTATATGAAAACAGCAAACATGAGCATAAACTTGTAAGGCTTACTTCATTTACATAATTTAAAATGCATCCCAAGTGGTTGTAAGATGCCTTTCAAGGTTCAGCACATTGGAAATAGTTGCAAGGACGCCAAGTATTTTCACATGTCTGTTAACAGCAATAGTTTCAGCCCTTACTCCTGTGTGAAGCAGTGTGACTACATCTAGCCTCTCTGAGCTCCGGACTCTTCTCTGATACAATCATGTGGATGTACTAAGATCCACAGGGTTTGACCCAGCCCCAAACTCCCTAACATTTGAGTTGGTCCAGAGGGTGGCCCATGAGGGTACCCACTACAGGTCCCTGAAGGGTGAGGAAAAAAACAATCCTCTCTCAAAGGTAGACTTACTCCAAGGCTACCATCACTGGAACCTGATACAGGCATCTGAGGGCATCAAATATGAGCATTCTCATAAGAGAGTGAAATCTCTTCCCCCCAAGAAGACCTGCCATAGACAAGGGCCCTGGGACCAGGATCGGGCAGCTCTGTGGCGATCGGTGCAGGTTCCCATGTTTGTCATATCTCTGGATATATTAAGCCTGATTCCTGTCAGCCCCAGACCATGTGAAAAATGTTTTACTACTGTTTGTTTTTGTGATGGGTCATGAATGCTTTTTCCACGACGATACTAAAATCAACAAAAAGAAGACTGGGAAGTATGGCTCTGAACAAAGTTATTCCTGCCTCGAATTCTCCCAAGTCGCATTCAAAAAGCAAGTCTTTTTTTTTTTTTTTTTTTTTTTTGAGATGGAGTCTTGTTCTGTCACCCAGGCTGAAGTGCAATGGCATGATCTCCGCTCACTGCAACCTCCATCTCCCGGGTTCAAGCAATTCTCTTGCCTCAGGCTTACAAGTAGCTGGGATTATAGGCGTGTGCTACCACACCTGGCTAATTTTTGTATTTTTAGTAGAGATGTGGTTCTACCATATTGGCCAGGCTGGTCTGGAACTCCTGACCTCTGTCTGTCTACCTCGGACCCCCAAAGTGCTGGGATTACAGATGTGAGCCACCACGCCCCGCCTCCCAATCAGTCTTAATAGTACTGACGGTGGCAAAAGGGTAGAATGGGGCTGTGAGGTAACGGACAGCCCCATTACCCATTACAGGAAAAGTGTGTTTCCTGTTAAGAAAAAGCAATTGTCCTTCACACTTGTTTACTCACAAAGGAAAAAAGAAAACAAAACAGAAAGTGAAAAAAGAATTCTTGGCCTGGATTTCACGTGATTTTTAATAGAAAGTGAATCTGTCATTTAAAAGAAAGCTAATGCCAAATATCTGAAAATCTGGGGAGTTAGAGTTTAGTCTTTATAAGGTTTTACCCGTGTGCTGTTATAAAACAGGGGTGGGGAGTCCTTCTTACCTATAGTTTATTACAGGAAGTTTACAGCCACAGTTAAGTGAAAACTTCCATACTGAGATTTGTTACATATGCAGGCATAAAATCCCTGGAAACGAATGTTGTGTTTAAATTCAGTCTTCTGGTAGAGAAATACTTAATATCTCTTGACAACAGTTATCTCTCTGTTTCTTATCAGAGCCCTCATTTCAGTAGTGTCTCATTTCAAAACTTCTAGAAAACTTGCTATAGAAAGTCAAAGAGAACTAAGAAAAACACTGAAGTCAATAAAAAACCCTCTGTTTGGGCCATCTGTCCAAACCAATTTAATTGTTTTATAACCACTAAGATATGTGATCAAGGTTTATTTACCTTTCTCTTTTCAATGATAAGGTTAGAACACAAATGCAACAAAATAAAGAAAAAGGCCGGTGGATTCAACATGGGCATGTAACCAGTAATAACATATTTTCAAAAACACCGCCTGCAATTTGATTCATAATAGTAGAAGTCTCTCTCTTTAAATAGTCAACTATTCTAACAAACAATAAAAACAAAGCTTCTTCCCAAGGCAAGTATTACTTAAAATGCAATTCCAAATATTTGCTTTGCATGAGAACAAATTAGACAACTTAGGGTACCCTAAAGCATATTCTATGAAATCCTGCATCCAAGAAAGGCTATGAAAAGAAATAAATGAATTTAAAAGTCAGTAAGTTTGGGAAACATCGTATGTTACTCTCCACTTCTAGAATGCCTGTTAGGACATAACAACTCTGAGACGTCTTTCACTAAAGAACCCTAGTACACGATACTAAGCCCAGCATTTTCCAGATTTACTTGACCAGGAAATGCCCTTTATAAATAGCACATGTTTATATACTGCAAAACTGGTGCTTTAAACAAGCTGATGGGAAATGCTGGATTAGACGATATTATCTACACTGTTATCTATGTTTAGTTTGAAACTTTTAATGATCGATCACACATATCCAGTCTCTTCTCTTTGTGGTCACATGGGAGGATTACTCTTGCCTGTTCCCCTAGCATGTGGGTGGGGCATTTGACTATTATGATCAATGGCCTGTGTCCAGCCCATAAGCCCACAGTCCTTGAGTGAGGATGGCGAGCCCCCTACCACCATATGACGGAGAAGTAAAATGAGTGGAAAATACACATCTGTGAGTTTGAGCCACTGAGATTTTGGAAATCTTTGTTACTGCAGCACCAGCCTAACCTGCCTGATACACTATAGAAGGGAATTTTTCTTAAATAAATCTATATATAGTGACCAAAAGTGACAAAATAAATAGAGAAATGTGGAATAAGCATACAATAAAAATGAATCTTCAAGAAGGCCATTTTGGTCTAAAGAATCTCAATTCAAGCACTAAAGAGCAGTGAAATAAAACTAAACACCTTGTATGGATTAATTTAAAGTCATCAGGTTTTGTTTGTTTGGAGTTTGTGGAGGTTAGGCCTTTGACACAAGAAAACTAAAACTCTATTACATAGTGTGTCTAAATTCATACTGTTAATAAACAACAGTCATGTGATTTACCGATGGCTGTATTCTTTACACTACACAGTCTGAATTAGTGGAAAAACCTAAACGATGAATTTTAAAAATAGTTTTGAGGGTCATTACTCCGAGGCACGCTGTCAGAATGCCTTTCTGTGGCTCAAACTCACAGAAGCATGTTTCCCACTCATGTTACACGTCTGTCACATGGTAGCAGGGGGGGTCTGTCATTCTCACTCAAGGACTCTGGTGATAGGCTGGACATAGGCCATTCGCCAGAACTAGTCAAAGGCGCCACTGAAAAGCTAGGGCAGCAGGCAGGAGTAATCCTCCCATGTGACCACAAAGAGAAGAGACTGCCTATCTGTGATCATTACAAGTTTCTGAACACAGATAACAGTGTAGATAATGTGGTCTAATCCAGCATTTCCCACCAGCTTCTGTAAGAATGCGAAAGTACTGTAGAATCAAAAGGAGACAAACAGTTGTCAAATGGAAGACTCGGAGCTGTTAAAGAATAAGCTGATCTTATAATTGACAAACTAACTGTTTGCAAGGGATACATTCACTTTTTTTTTGTTGTTGTTGATATGGAGTTACACTTTTGTCACCCAGGTTGGAGTACAGTGGCACAATCTGAGCTCACTGCAACCTCTGCCTCCCAGGTTCAAGCAATTCTCCTGCCTCACCCTCCCAAGTAGCTGGGCTAACAGTTGTGTGCCACCACACCCGGCTAATTTTTTGTATTTTTAGTAGAGACGAGGTTTCACCATGTTGGCAAGGCTGGTCTCAAACTCCTGATGTTAAGGTAATCCACCCACCTGGGCCTCCCAAAGTACTGGAATTACAGGCATGAGCCGCTGAGCCCGGCCTACATTCACTTTTCAAAACAAAGTTTATTTTTTCAAATATAAAAATAACATATGTTTACTGCAGAACAACAGAAAATACAAAACAGCTCTGAGACAAAAGCAAAAATCACAAGTAATCTCATCCATTCTCCCCTCCCCCAAAACCTTAATATTTGTATTTTTGTGTATTTTTCTACATATTTGCCATAGCTCCATTTATACAATCTTGCGTTCTGCTTTTTCCCCTTATGTTAAAAACCTTCCCATGTTATTAGAAGATTTTCCATAATAATAATGTTTTTATTAATATAGTAAACAACTAATACTTATGTATTTTCCAGGCACTAGGCTAACTGCTTTACTTATAACTTATTTAATCCAACAAATCCTATGTGGTCTTACTATGATCATCCTGATCTTACTGATGAGGAAACTGAGACAGAGAACGCGGTTAATGACTTGCTCAGGGTCACAAAGTGGGCCCATGGTGAAATCAGGATTTAGACCCAGGCAGCAAAACTCCATGGTCGGCACTTTTAACTATACACTGTATTGCCTCCAGAATACATATTCACCCTCTAACTTTCCAATGATGGACATTTAGGTTATCACCACTTAAAAAAAATCATAATAATGTTACAACAGACATCTTTACAGGCATGTGAAGCCCTATTTTATCTAAGCCTATTCAGACAGTAAAACTTCTAC